CTGTAATAACATATTAACCATACATATTTACACACTTACCATCCTATAACAGTCAGAGAATTGTGTTTCAGTTGCACAGCTTATTTGTTGGGTAAAAGTGGGGACACTACTGATTCCTTAATGCATACGTTCATTGTAAACAAGAAATAAAAAATTGCATACTGGAAACTACATTTTCAGCACATAGTTAAGGCAGTAAAATTCTATTTAAAGCTTTCCTGTACTGTGCCCTTAAAAGGTGCAAGAAGAGAAGAAAATGATGCATTCGTAGAGTTATACTGATGTGCTTGTGTGAGACGTACATCACACATTTTAGCTGGCACCCAAGGGGTTAGCATACATATTTCATGATAGAGAAGAATGTGCTCTTTGTGCCTGACTGCACACCCCTGTGCAGGATACCAAAGTGCTTCTTACATAAAGTGATGTGGAGCAGTCTTTTACTGAAGTAGACTTCTTCAAAAAGTCCACAGAAAGTAATTGTGGGGAAGGTGCTCCCACCCCGTAACACTAGAGTGGAAGTTAGGAACTGCTGACAGATTTGTACAGCATCAGTCCTTCCTTCAGGTGCCTCTGCTGCGACTGTCCACGGGTCAGCGGGCAGCAGGAAAGAGCAGAGATGCAGCATTCTGCCGTCAGCTGGGAACAGACACCATAGAAAAATGGGATAATCAAAAAATGAATGACCTAGGGTGTTAAGGAAGTCTCTTTGTTTAGGTATATATTTATTTCTCAGGCAGCGCACCAACAGTCAGTGTTGATAAAATCATCAGTATTATGGCAAGATCTATATGAAGTGTCAGATAGGCAGTGCTGTAAATTAGAATATTGTCTTTAGAAGCCAAAAGTCAAACTTCAAAGGCAAATTATAAAGAGGAATAAACTAGCTTCTCTTGCCTTCAGAAAGATCTGCCTTAGACCTAGACCTACACCTGCTCAGCTACTGGGAGTCTATGCTGGTATAATTTTTATGATACTGAAACAAAAGTAGTCAGCTGGAACCAACTGAAATTTGATTTCTTTCACCTCTTTCTACTTTCTAGGGTACTTTTTTTTTTTTCTTTTTTTAAACAGTAGAGAGAGTTAGATTAGGTGTGGAGACTGTAGTCTGCTATCTAGACTTATTCTTCACCTATAAGTTAGAGCTTAGAACTACTGTCTAGTTTTGTACTTGTGCAATCTAATAAATTAGTAACTCAAGCACAAGTAACTCAGCTTAATCTTCTTTAGCTGTGTGGTAACCTAAGTAGAATATCTCACCTTCTGGTGGGTTTAGAGTATATATACTAACAGTCATTTAGGTTCAGATTCATCTGAGAAACTGTTAAACACAGTAATTTGGTACTTCGGTAAGAGCTAACACTATGCCTTTGCTGCAGAGTTTAGCTATCTGCACAGAGATTATTTCCATCACATTATCAGATTTAAATCAGAGCATTCACACACTGCAGTGACATCTATCATGGGACAGAAACTTGAATGAAAAAGCATCTTCTCATTTTAACGCAAATATTTTTTTGTCTGTAAGACTCAAACAAGGGGCAAACTTGACAGTTTTGAGGAGTTAACTTGAGCTCTACCTGAGTTAACACTAGTAAAGCCAGGACTAGGATTACATGAACCTTTTTCACTTTTGATCTGACTGACGGCACCATAGCCTCAGATGTGCAAGTCAAAGGCAATGAGATACAGCATTACTATCTCATATGCAACTCATGTAATAGAAGTAGCAAATCTGTTTCTTTTTAAAGATGAGTAGTTTTGGTACATGTGGAGTGTAGATGAAAAAAGGACTGTAATATTTCCCTATCTTCATTTTGTCCCTTTGTTCATTTCTTTAGCGTGATAAGTATGCATTGTATACTTTTTCTTTACTACTTCTTCAGTTTATTACTGGAGGAGCTCATATGAATTCTATATATAGGTTGCTTCAAAATTTCTGTTATAAAAGCTCTTCTGAACTCTTTAGAGAAATACTGACACTATTATTATCATGTCCATGTTGTGTCTTTGGATTTTGGTAAGCAGAAAGCCTTAAGGTTAGAGAAATGTCTTTTCTTTGTTCCCCCAAAAGCCACTTGAGCTATAAGCTGTTAGAACTCTATTTCTCTTTGTTGTTCACATTACTTCAGAAATTTCTGGCACCAGGAAAAATAACACAAAAGAATGCAGGAACACTCAAAGGGCTTGTCTACGCTTGGAAATTGCAGCAAAGTGGCAACCTGTGACTTTCAAGTTTGGTATTTTGAACTAACTTCGCGTGTACACATTTGGCTTTTACACTAAGGTGAACGGAGATACAATTGTAGGCTGCTAACAAGGAGAGGACATTGCTGCATGGCTATTATGGATTGGCTATTTCAGAGTTTTTCTTCTTAAAGACAAGCTCTAAGGCTGAACCACAGGAACCCCCAAGTGCCTGTGCTACTCTGCAGGAAGCATAGGCCAGCCTCTTCACTCCCCTTTGCTGGGTACATGGCACCACATCCTTCCCTATGGTCAGGTCAGCACAAACACAAGTCAAACAACTTTTGTGGAGGATTCCGTTTCCTCCTGGTGGTTTGCACCCTCTGCACTCTCACACGAGCTCTGGGTTGACATGTTTTCCTTGCTCACGGTGGCCATGCCATTGTCCTTTGTGCACTAGCTGCAACCATGCCACAGCAATGACAGTACAAACACTGCAGAGAAAATCTTGTCTTTCTATTTAAAAGTGTCTGTTTTGAGTTCTAGTTAAATAGCAGCATAAAAGATTGCAAGCAAAATTAATAAAATCCTTAACAGTTTTTATTAAGGTTTTAAATGATTGCTCTTGCACAGTAGGAAGCCACAGATTTACAATTGCCTGTTCAACC